ATACACACACATTCGCAAGCGTACGAGCATGTATAGACACGCACACATATAAGCACAAAGGTGTTTCCATATTGGTATTTACGAGCAATGTGTTTACAGAATCCTGCAAAAACTTCATTCGGTCAAATCGTTGGAACCCACCATCCACAAAAAACAAATCCAATTTCATGACACATATATTTCAATGACAGTATTCACAATACCTTCCGCATACGGTTTTGTTGCTGGTTGAGCTTGTAAAAGCCTGCTTTATGTTAGCGCTCTCCATCCCGCAAAAAAATGGATGCAAAGTACTGCGTGTAAACACACCATTAACAAGATTTGCGGGAACCAGTAAAATGCTGTTCCTGCAGAACTGGACGGCGGTTGGAATAGGCCGTAAATCTATACAAAACGAATTGACGATGCAACGGCTTGCATTGTGGGCGCTAGATAACGAAGTCCCGGTTGCGATTCCCGGAAGGACCAATTTGGAAAATTTCCTTTTTTGAATTGTTTTTTGGTAGTGCCTGGAATAAATTCCGTTACTCTAGTACTCATAATACAGGTTTGAGATCAGATAAATTGGTGTGGTTGTCTGGCACATGGTTATTATTAGATAAAATAAATGGACTATAACTTTCTAGTAGCAGTAGAGCTCCTTGTGAAAGAGTTCGTCCAGGGAAGTACTGCCACCTTACCTATTTCTGCAGCCAAGCAGTAATGTGAGCATTACTGCGTTCCGGTTTGGGAGGGTAAGGGTGCTGGTGAAATTGTCAACTTACGTCTCAGAGTGACGGGCGCAGTGGCACTGCCTCTCAGATTTTTGCGATTTAAAACACTGAGTGGCACTGCAACTGTTTTGGATAGGCGCATGACTTGTTCGTCTCTTCACTTGGTATTATAAAAACAAACACTTTTGCTCCAGGTTCACTTATTACTCAGAATTTAGATAGCCCTATAACAAATTTAAAGCCCGTACAACCACTTGATATAAACAAAGCGCCCATTTTATGCTCCAAATTAACATAAAAACACACCCACATAACATATTTTACGAGCATCACAGTAAGTACAAGTACTTTGCGTGGACTCAGCATAGTAAATCAAACCTCAGGTACAGTTCGTTTCAATAACTTTGAATTACAGAATGAATAAAAAAAATACGTCAAACGTTATATAAAACCAGTAATACCATTTGTTTTATTTATGAATGCAAAGATCTAAATTAAAAATTTCTTCGAGTCAGCAGTACTTACGAATATTTTCCTTAGAAGAAGACTTGGCATTAGAAGAGGCGAAACTGCAGAGCCTTGAACACCGCCGTAAAGTTGCCAGACAGGATACATCACGGAGAATGTGCGATGGAATTGCATAATTTGATTCCGCCTTCCCCTTTACATCATCGGGGGACTAGACGTGGGCTGGGGTTCCACCCCTATCTTGTGGATATTTCCAGGATTCGCACGAAGCGTTTCGCTTCCACATTTATATGTCGAGCGGCTAGAGAGTGGAATTCCCTGCCTTCGGACTTTTTCCCCGAACGCTATAACTTGAACATTTTCAAGACAATAGCATTATTTAGATGTGCATGCTACATCATCGACTTCGTCGTCACTTTCCATCAGGTGAGATGGAGGTTGCCACGGCTTCTTGATGGTATTACTACCATGATATTTATCTATTTTTGTGCAAAACTAACGTAACGTATCACTGCACATTCCCATCTCATAAAAGATAAAACATCGTTCTTTGTATTGCTGGCCGTAAAAACATGAACAGTAAAAATTTATGAACATCAATAAAGTGTTTTTGGATCATTGAGTTAAAAAATCGCGAAAATCCATTTCAATGTCACGTTACTAAAAAACATCAAGTGCGTTAATCTTGCGTTAAATTAATGTAATTTATAGCTGTGAAGGTTTTCAGTTCGACTGTACTTTTCAGTGGATGCACAAGACAATATGACTTTTCTCCAAGCTAACTTTGTACTGGCAACTTTTTAACTATGAATGTTGAAATGTGCATTTATTTGCGTTTCAGGTTTTTGCTTTAACAATTTTACATTAAAATAAGTTACATATTAGTTAATAGGACCATCTAAAAATTCTAAATAATGTGTAGCGGCAAAACCATGTCACGATACGTAAACATCGTGACATTTTATGTTTAAATGCATTGGGCATTCCTTGATTAGTAATTTAAGTTAGTCTAAACATCTCCGAATTGAATTGATGCATTCGCCTATAATCTCAAATGTAGCGATGCAATCGCGCGTTTGTATCGATGCAGTCGCGCGTTTGCGTCGCTGCTTAAAATCACACGTGTGTGTAAAGCGATTAGCGACTGCATCGCTACTGCATCACGTTTGAATCGCGTTTGCATCGATACTAAAAGACGCCTTGTATAACTGCTCTTAGAAATAAACGGACTGATTACCTTGGACTAAGTGTTTTATAGACATGCGCAAATCAGTAACCTAGAAAAGTAATATAATATCACATTACATTCCCGTAAACGTAATATTACACCGTGAACCATTATTACCCACAACATCACACAGACTAAAAATGAGATGTGCTATAAAAAATCTTTCTAGGTGCATTATAGGTATACAGATTTTATGTTTATCGAAATAATTTTGCCCCGAAATAAAATTACCCCCGCAATATGTTGCTTCTTTTTTGAAGAACTAAATCAATAACTCCAATTCGTCGTCGTTCAGCAATTAACCGCTAGATGGCAGCACATCAATTGAAATCTAAACATAATATCAAAACGTCGTAATTGGCAATAATAGATATTGATGGTATTGAACTTTTAACGATATGCCAACGGGGTAAAGTTTAAATTATATTAACAATCCCGAATTTGTTATTTCTTTTTAAATTTTAAACTACGACTAATCAATATCAAGATTTTGTAGTGTTTCAAATTAAGAATGTGTGAGTTTTTGCGACATCGGTTTTGATAGTAATCGAGGCTTATGGCACTTCCATTGTTTTTTTTTCCTTTTGTGATCACCCTTAATACCACACAGACTAAAAATGAGATCCATTATAAAAAAATCTTTCCTGGTGCAATAAATACAAATGTCAGCGTGTTTAAGTGTCCCAGCATTGGGAAAAGCTCTAAAAGCCCAATGTATGTACATTAAAATGTACTAAACTTGATTACATGCTTTAGGTGTAAGCCAATACTAGCTCAGTTTTGTATGAAAAACGTATTTTGATAGGATGATATGATAATGTGAAATTTAAAGCGCTAAATTTAAATGCGATATTTTCATTATAATGTACATTGGGCGTTTACGTGATCTTAAGTATAATAAAATTGCTGTCTGGTTCTGAATCAGTTCACATATTATGTACATTTTGTTGTACACGGGGTCTTAGGTAATGAAGTATTCTATCCAAGGAAAGTGCTAATAACCTAAGTTTTTTAAGCAAATAGAACTTATGTTAGCGAAAACTGAACATATTCTATCGATTGCTCAATAATTGGTACGTTAACGTTTCCGCATTCAAATTGATAACTGGCGTGGTTGTTTTACTTTCAGAGAACGGGTGAGTACGCTTCAAAACGATTGTAACGGAAAAATCGACTCAGTTGCTTTGAATTTTGTTTACCGTAAAAATGGCATGGCAAAAGGCATTTTATTCGATTCAATGCATAATAGGTATTATTCTTGTATCCCAGTTTACTTATTTACTTATTATATTACACTCATGTATTTAGAGAAGCTAAAACAGGTTGAATTTAATTTGAATTAAATCATAACTTTTTTTATTAAACTCGAAAGTTTGCTTATCGGCTTTTTTATTGGAATTACAACAATTACAGAAATTACCACAGCCTTGCTTTTCTGGTCTTATTTGTTTTTAATTAAGAATATTTTATTTCTATAGTACAGTAGTGTAATTTTGTAGTGGTGTAGTTTAAGTAGTATAGGTATGTGTATACATATACTTTCATATACTTTATTATAATACCGTTTATGTTTTTTCGATGTAGATTAATAACAGCATTGACTCGAACCTTAATGGTTTTTAAATGTTGTAAAATTGTGATTGTAATATACCTAAGTAGTTGATTGGAAATAAATTTTAAAAAAAATCTATTTGCCAGGTTTTATTGAAACCGGTTAACGGAAAGTGCGCGAAAACGATTCATCACCTAGTTTGCCGTACTTATAGGTGGAACATTTTCTTCAAATTTAAAATGGAAACAATATCAAAATCGGTTCACAAATAATCAAGCCGGACTAATCGCGTAATATACAAAAAAAAAGAAAGATTTAAAAAAAAAGATAGAATTAAAAACTTCCTGCTTTTTTGGTTTCGAACGTTCTTGTATATGTGGCCAGTGATATATAAAACGTTGATAACAAATTATGATAATATAATTCAACCTTTTTATACATGTCTTCTAAAAAGTATGCCCTTGAGCATAATTAGGTTAGCGTTTGCTTTTTGTACAGGGTGCCCTAGGTTCGCTCACACGGCGGAGTTGTTAGGAATCATTGGATTTTACTAATTGGCGCTCGCCTTACATTAAGAAGAAACATCGTGATGAAACAACTGTCTGCTAAAACAAAATTTTTGACTTTGTGATAGGTTACCCCAGAAGGTTAATGAGTAGCCTGAAATTACATTTTCCAGAAATAACGTTTGGTCGAAATTTCATAACCTCGAAAATAATTTTTGGAGGAAAATGGTTTTTTCTTTTAAATCTAACTTAACCTTTTCTTTTAACAGGGGGAAATGCTTTATGCATTATGTGGGACTGACCCTCCGATGGAGGGCATACCCACTAAAAACCCCCGGCGCACCCTCTTGGTCGGGTGTTGTGGGCACCGTGGGATCCCGAGGATTCTACCACAACGATGCCCCAGGTCACCTTGGCTTCTGCCAAAGTTCCCGCGCTAAAGAGGGGAGGGTCGGACGCTTAACCCATCCCCTCAGACGAGTGAGACCGTGCAATGCGAGCAAGGGATCCCCGTCTCTTGTCCGCTGGCCTCACTAGGGAATTAGGCGAGCAGCGAACTGCACTCGCCTTCTTCCCCACCGCCTGCGCCGAAGCGGGTTCGCGTCGACTGCGTCTTCGCGCACCCGTTCCGCGGCCTCCTTTTGCAAGATGACCTCCTCGCAAAAGAAGGCCACTGCCTCCCACGATTCTTCACCGCTTTGCATAGCAGATACCACGCTAAGCAGCGAGAGATCTCCCCCTATAGTCGCTACCAGAGTGCGGCGTTGCGCACTCCAGAGATTGCACACCTCTAAGGTGTGTTGCGCCGTATTGTCCGCATCGCCGCACTCATGGCAGGACGTTGAGGCCTCCCTCTTGGCGACTTTGTGCAGGTAGTGCCCGAAGCAGCCGTGCCCAAACCTGTACCTGCACAAGCCGGTACGTTAGGAGCCCGTGTCTCCTATCGACCTACTGGTCGAGAACCGGGTGGATCGCCTCCATGGTGCGGTCACCATAGGGCGAATCCGCCAGACTCATTTTCCAGCGGTCGCGCATTCGTTACGCTGCCATCCGTCGTGTCCCTTCCACCTCTTGAGGGGCAGTGCGTTCGCCCCTGGCCAATCTCTCCATTTTATAGTGGTAGACTTCGGCCAGCACCTCCGCTTCCATTTCCCACGGAGGGATACCTGCAAGGGCACATGCAGCAGCCCAGGCCGCCGTTATGTACGCCCGGGACATCCTAATGGCCACCACCAGTTGCGACCGGCTTAGGAGGCTCCTATTGACGGAGGAGAGGGATTCGTGACTTATTGGTGCCCTATATAGGGCCATACTGCGTACCACGCCCGCGTATAGCCGCCTACATGGAGCACCAGGTCCCCCCACATTTGGTAGGGATATGAAAGAGGGGTCACCTCCCTCCGTGCGATCTTGTGCAGGTAGTCACCGAAACAAACCTAACCCAACCGAACCTAATCGTGCCTTTGCGATAAATATCCATGCCTATACCATAGCATAATAAAACAAGTAGTCCAACTCCTCCAAGCGTAGGATTGTTACCTTAATATTTTGGTTGTACAGACGGCAGCATACATCAACCTTTTTTTTATAATATCAAGTGACGGGACGAACAAGTCGTGCGCCTAATGTTAAGCTACACACCTGCCCGTAACAGTTGCAGTGCCGCTCAGAGCTTTAAGTCACAAAGATGTGAGGGGCACTGTTACTTCGCCCGTCATCCGGAGACATAAGTTGACAAGTTCCATGTGACTGTAATGTCACCAACACCGGAACACAGCAATGCTGACTTTACTGCTGGGCGGCAGAAATAGGTAAGGTGGCTGTACCTCCCTGGACGAACTTTTTCACAAGGAGCTCTACTGCTACTAAACTACATATTGACAAATTTTATTTTGTTGCTCTGGAGGCGATATACGAACAAAAGTACATAGTTTGATTTGCTATTGACGTTCGTAAAGATAGTAAAAATTTTTTTTTTTTAACTTGAGGTGTTTCATTCTTTTCCTGGTTACGAAATAACTTTAGTCAAATGCAGTAATTACATTTTTTTTAAACGAGTATCGCGAATCTCGGGTATTATTATGAAATAGAAATGAAATGCTAAACATTTCTGAATTCGAGGCACTCTTGTTCAAACAACCTTAAACACTACAATAAACATCTCTATTTTTGATGTGAACACTTCAGTTCTATAACGAATAGTGCGTGCAATGACCCGCGCTGTGCAACTCGAGTGCACTGTGGGATTATAAGAATGTGTAAAACCGCGTTTATATTTGTCTGACGTGACGTGTCGTGATGCGCTCTGACGTCAGGGCTGGCGTTCACATCTATATGTCGTGTTCTGATTCCTTCTGACGATATTTTGAATCAATACCGTCGTCTGACGCGTCACAACACAGCACAACACTGGCACCAACCCTCTTGTCTGATCTGATGTCGCGTCACGACATGACACGTCAGACAATTGTAAATCTGGCTTAAAGTGTGCGTCCACACACTTTGCATGGGGGCGTGTATACATACAAACCGCGCTGCTACGTTTGTATGAAGTTACATTGCTTGTCTTATTATATTATGTCTATAATGGTTTGATGATACAATCACCGAAATGCCATAAAACGCGATTAAGAGAAGTTCTCAGTTTCTAGAGAGGAGTATTTTTAGCACTGGGTAAGGTGACAAATTACGACGACGCCTTTAAGTGCTAATGTCTCCTTTTATGTCGATCAATGTTCGTGTTACCAGTCGAAGGAATTTCCCACAATATGGCGAGGATCTGTTTTAAGTCGTCAGATTTATCAGTTTATAAAGTTACAATGGAAAATAATCTGACAGCGTGTGATGGAATGGTTTACTAGAGAATCCAGTTTATAGGTCATGGATTCAATTTAGGTTCACGTAATTGCAAGCCATAACCCAGTAGGAGAACGGTTTTTTTTATTTGAGAGGTTGACAGTTCGTATCCCTCATGCGGCATGTACAGTCGATGCCCAATGAAACCTGACCCTCTAGCCGATCTTTTGACTCTGAGAGACTTCTTACGCATTTATGGCTGAAATTTGTATTCTATATTTAAGTAAATGTACGCTAAAATCAAATAGACTTTAAAAATATCTTTAAAAATCATTCACTAATTATGCAATAAGGAACTCATACCAATATTAATTTTTCGGCTCACAGATAAGTTTGTTTAACAGTTTTCTTTAACACTTATCTACCCAGAACTAAATGGTCTGTAAGGGGCAGAAGCGGCGTCGAGGGAGATTTCAGTGGGAGTTCACTTACCTATACATATTAATACGCTAGGCTCTTCAGCCAGAGGAGATAAATGTTATAGAAAATTTGTATTTACTGACTTAGTCATACGGTTACAATTGTTACTAAGGCGATATGGAGATAATCCGAAATAAAGTATTATTATTACTATTATTAAAAAAAAATTGAAAGTCACATCATATTGTTCCATTTTAAACAATGCCACTGAACAACACTACGCTTCGTAACAACGATTGAATAATTTTTACAACACAAAAAATGCGCGCGAAAAAAATACTTCTTTAATTGACAAACAAAACAGGCAAGAGCGCGCGGAGGCGGAGTGCAGAATCACCTAGTTGTCTCGCATCGGGCATGCATGCCACGGCAACAAAAGTAAAAGTGGTAAAACTCCAGATTTTTTAAACACATTTTTTTTTGCTTAATGTTATCAATTTAATCATATCTTTATTCTTATTCACTTTTACAATAAACGACACATATCGTACCGCTGGTATAATAATGATACATTAGATCATAAATCGAAAATGCTTTTATTACATGAAAGTTATTACTATTATTTGTTAATTACACAAATTATTTGTATAATAATTACGTAAAATTTTATAACTCTCCCTTTTTGCATAAAAACGTAAATTAAAAAGGTTTGTAAAAAAAAGTTTAAAATAAAATGGTTTGATATATTTAGTAATTAGCAAAGGACAACAAGAAATTAACTAAAAAATATGAATACATAAAATGTAATTAATAATCAATATGATAATGTAAAGTGAATTAATTCAATTTTATTTCAATTCTACGTTTGATTTTAGTTTGATTTTGTTTATTGAATTTAATATTACCTACCAGGGTTCATGTGTAGGTACTGATTTTTTTTAAATGTACACCATGTCAACCACATGATTGCAATAAATAAATTAATTATGAAAAGTTGTCGACAAATTTCGTTCGTAGAATCTTTAAACCTCTCTCCTGAAAATTTAAAATTTTGCAGATATGGCCTCATTACACCAACGCTACCTCGGCCTAAACGGGGATTGCCTAATTCATAAAATACATGACTTCCTTGGCGCTAGGCTTTATAACGCATACTTGTCAAAAAATCCTTGACTTCTCAGCCTCTGTAGTAATGTTCTAATATTTAAAATATTTATTGCACGCGCGTATGTAATCTAAAGATCAAATGTGTTAATGCTCAAAGTTACGGTACAGGGTAATTTGTCAGGATGTCCGCCCGCAACACCACCCGCTACCCATACTCGAGTAGTAATTAAAGTTACACGGCAGCGTTAGATAGAGTCAAATGCCAGGGTGATAAGCTTTCCTAACTTTGACAGTTTTGGCTTTGATACACCTGTTAATGATAGACAACTTAATAACTATGTTAGGAAGAATGTTAATTTATACCCATTATTGGAATATCCTAATGTTGATGGTTGACTAAGGTGTAAGAATGTTTATACTTGCAATTTTTATTGACTACGACACTATACCACTGATAGTTGCTACAATTGATAGTTGCTAGATTCGTAATCAAAAGTTGACTTTGAAATCATAGCCTTTATTTTGACCTGCTCGCTACCTTCCATGCGAGACAGATCGGCCAATCCTTTCGGAGCCACATGTTTATGCAATACTGACTAGCATTTGGACCTTCACACTGCTTTATCGTTTGTTGAGACTGAGACACTCTAGCTATAATCAGTGAAGTGTTCTCTAGAATCAAATTGCAGTCATTTGCATATACTTCTTTTGTTTGAGCGTTGATAATTTCCAAATCGAAGCCTGAGTCCTTCCGATTCGCTTTTGCTGCGATATAGCAGATTTTAAGTCGCCTACAGATATGTGTAATCCACCGAAAATAACTGCGACTATTATGACGTTATTGATCATCAACCTATTTATACGTCCCACTGCTCAACACGTGTTTCCTCTCAGGCAAGAGCGACACTGACTTCATACGTTTTCCGAAGATTGCGAACCGTCTCGACGTGCAAGCTTCATCACGATGTTCTTCTTCATCGAAAGGCTCATAGTAAATTTTAAATTAAATTTCTAACACAATTTCCAAGAAACTCAGATTGATGGAATTATATTATTAATACCCATGATATTTATTTATTTTTTATGAGTCTGGTTTCGTACTTCAGAATTTCTCGGCATTTATGTGCTAAATTTAATTTGAAATGTACCATGAGCTTTTCGGTGAAGGATAACATCGTGATGAAACCTGCTCGTCGAAGAAAGTTCACCACACTCGGAAAACGTGTGTACCCACATTGCCCGAGACGAGACCCGTGCCCACCAGTGGGACGCTTAATGGGTTGATGATGACGATGATTAAGCCAATAACACCTGAAATCAGTCAATTGATAGTACTCACTCGTAGGCCCTACACCCATTGGCGAGATGGCACGTCCAGAAAGCCCACATGCAAACACACAGTGACGGCAATTATGCCGCGATATTTTTAATTATTTTTTTTATAATATCAACTGACGGGACGAACAAGTCGTGCGCAGTAATTTTCAGGTAAGTTTTTTGTACTCAATTTTGTTGCCATTTTTTATTATTTAATTACTCGAATGTATCATCGTGAAATATATATTAAAGAATATTTCAGGTTACCACACTCGAATATTAAATAATACTTCATGATGGCATTCTATAAATATTTAAATAAAAACAAATAGTCTCCAAAATTTAGTACAAAAAACTTACCTGAAAATTACCCTCCA